ATTTTTGGCTATTAGCAATTTCACTGGATGATGTTTAAATTGTAGTAGTGCCCTTATTTTAACCATAATCTCTCTTCCCAGCAGGGGGTTGGGTAGCTTGATACTACTAGGCATTCCTGTTGGAAGATTTGTTTCTTAAATTGACAAATCAAAGGATGAGTAAAAAATCTGGTTTGTGGTTTCCCTTCCATTCCTGTAACACTCATGGACCAGGAGGAAAGTTTCCCTGCATAAGCAGTAAGGACAGAGTAATTTGCCCCTGCATCAAAACGAAACTGAATTTGGGTGCCCACGACATCCAGAGTTACTCGGGGCTCCCCAGAGGTAATTATAATTTCCTGGACAGGGGCAGTGAGGAAGATCCCGGGCCCCTTCAGTCTTCACCTGATTCCTCCTTTCGCACTGCTAGAGTTTTGCCTAACCCAGCCCCTCCGTGGGAGCAAAGGCAGTCAATTCTCCAGTGCTAGGGTTCATGACTGGTGCCTTTGCACTGACAGCAGGTGCCTTTGCACTGACAGCAGGGGCCTTGGGCGGGGAGCGGGGGTACTTAGTACGTTCCTTTGCCCAATGCCTGCTTTTCTTGCATTTGAAGGAAGACTTGCCTTTGCTGGCATTATCTTTACGGTCCTCTGGGTTTCCCTTAGACACTCTTTGGGCGTTCAGGGCATCACCAATGATGGCTGCCATAATTTTGGCTTGCATCTTTCTTTACTCTGTTCTCTTTTTCCTTCCTCCAGGTCATGATTGTTATACACCATAAAGGCAGTATCAAGAAGTTGATTTTGATTAGTTTGTGGCCCCATCTGTAGCTTTTGGAGTTCACGTCTAATGTCTGGGGCAGACTGGCTAATGAAATGCTGTGCCATTAATATTTTGCCTTTGGGAGAGGAAGGGTCCAGATTAGTATATATTTAAAGGCTTCCTCCAGCCTACCATAAAACATGGCTGGATTTTCCTCCTTGCCTTGTGTAACCTCCCTTACTTTATCATAATTTACTCCCTTAGTTAATCCCTTTCTCATTCCTCCAAGGACAGTCTCAAGAAATTTAACCCAGTGGTTCATTCCCATGGGGGGCGTTATAGTCTCAATTAGGATCAGTAGTGGGAACTGTGTCTGGGCCTCGGTAATTGCCCTGAGGGTTTCAGGTGGATAATTCATCCACTTCCTTGCTGGCAGCCTCAAAGATGTGTTCCTTTTCTGAGGGAGTGTCAACAGGTTGCTAGAATGAATTGACCATCTCTCCATGAGAGATGAAAGGCTAAGGTCAAAGTTTGGAACCCATCTGCAAATTTCCTAGGATTCTCAGAACAGCTTCCTAGCCTTTCCTTACATTGTTGTATATTAGTTGTAGAGAAGGGGGCCTGCACTAGGACTGGCCCCTGAATTCCTGCTACTTCCCTAAGGTGTAGCAGGGCTAGAAGGAGAGTTGAATACAGGGTTCCCCTCCGAATGTGAGGGGGACTTAGTAGGGTCTCTGGTGTTTGCTCCTGGGCTGTATGGGAGTGGTCACTGTTCACTCTGAGAGACAGGTGGCCCTTGTAAGAGGGGGTCATCTATAATATGTAGTTCTCCCTTAGAACTTTCCTTTGTGGGGTGGGTTCTGGGAGTTTCACAGATTCTTAGGTTTTGGTATAGAGTCATGAAAGTCTGTACATACAAGATTTCTGGCCATTCGCCCTGCCTCTTGCAAAATAGGTCTAATTGCAGGATGATGTCATAATTAAGGCTACCATTGACTACCCATTTTTTCCAGGCTGGGCAGCTCATAATGGAGCCAGACAGTACTGCAGAAAAAAATTATATGCTTTCTCTTTAGATTGTCAGGGTCAAATTGATTCCAATGGTGGAGGATGTAGCCAAGCGGGCAATCAGGTGGAATAGGTGGAGAATTGCCCATGGTGGTCTGGAAAACAGAAGAGGACTTTGAAAAGTGGAAGGCTCACCAGGTGACCCAAATTTCACCTGGGACATTCCTACTATGAACTTTCCTTAAGGTTTTCCCATGCCACTTAAACTAACCCTTTAACTCTTTCAATTTAGGCAACAATAGATTCCCTTTCATGAATTACCCCCACTCCCCATGCACCACACAGACCACCTATGACATGCCTGGCCCCTCTGATTCATATAACCTTTTTGCATAGCTGGGTGGGTTTTCTGTCCTTAGCCAGTCGAGTAGGGGAAGGGAAGGGAAGAATTTAGCATAAGAAAGTTTAAGTCACCTGAAACATGTGTGAGTTTGCCCTGAATGAGCTGCTGCTGCCAACCGAGACACAGGTAGGGATCAGGGACTATAATCAGAAAGGATAGAAAAGAGTCTTTCACCCTTCTGGGCAGGGCAGCCATCCTTGTTCCCTCGTTGGCCTTCAGAGAACACTGGAGAGTGGCCCTGACTAGTTCCCCTCAATTACCAAGGAGTTACTAGGAAACAACCAGTGAAAGACTGAAAAAGCAAAAAAGGAAAAGAACTCTGAAAAAGAAAGAAAAGAAAAGAAAAGAAAAGAAAGAAAGAAAGAAATAAAGAAAGAAAGAAAGAAAGAAAGAAAGAAAGAAAGAAAGAAAGAAAGAAAAGGAATAGGACTCAGACAAATGAAAACAAGGAAAAAGACTCCTCACCCTAAACAGGCAGTGGTGGTCAAGTGCTTCGACATGGAAGCCTTTCAGTTTCACCAGACAGTGGCCCTGGCCAGAAACTTGCAATTTCCTCTGTGCTTAGTCGCTGCCCACTGAGGGTTCCGAGTTGGAAAGGAAAAGAGAGAGGGAGAGAAAGATTCCCCTGCATTAAAAGGGAAAAGGAGAAAAATCAATTCCAAGCTTTGGGCCTACCTTCTCTCCTGGCTGGCTTGCCAAAATATGTTTCCTGTAGAGGGTTTTGACTGAAAGTTGTCTAGGTTCTTGGGGTTTTTGAACAAAGAGTTGGAGAAAACACACAGAAAAGCAAGGAAAAAATGGAGCGATGAAAGAACAAAAGCAAGGGTTTATTAAAAATGAAAGTACACTCCACAGTGTAGGGGCGGGCCAACCAGCAGCTCAAGGGCCCAGATACGGAATCTTCTTGGGTCCAAATACGCCCTAGAGGTTTCCCATTGGCCACTTGGTGTTCACCTCATGTAAATGACATGGTGGCCCACAATCAGTCTGATTGGTTAATTAGAGGACAAAGTGAAGTTACAAAGGTCACACTCCTGTGCAAACATCTGATTGGTTGTGGAAAGCAACCAATCAGGCTGAAGTGAAGTTACAAAGTTGCACTTCTATGCAATTTTAACATAGAAATTGAAATGTAGCATAGCAATTGAAATGTGCTTTCAATGTCCCATCTGCTGCACAGAAAAGGTGGGGGTTTGCAAAGAGAGTAGCCTCTGGTCCTCTTGTTACTTAGCTGTGGAAAGTTAGGGTTTTCCTTTCAATTTAGTTCTAGGAAGTCAGCGTGAAATGGTCTTAGGTTCCCTGCCTCCAGACTCTATTCTCCTACCTCAGTTGGGCTAGATGAAAGGGAAGAGTTGATCAGAATGGGAGGATCATAAGGTAAAGTGTGGAGCTTAGTTAATAATAGTGTACCAATGTCATGCTCTCAGATTTTTTTTAAAAAAATTTAATTTTTTATTCTTTTGCCACCTCCTTGTCGCTGGCAGTTGAAAGGACCCCCACGCCTGGGGGGTCCCAGTTATGCACAAGCAGAAGCTCTGGGTCTGCAGCCTGAACCCCCGGCCAGGCCACAGGAGTCATACTCAACAACAGAAGAAACGAAGAGAACTTTGTACTATTTTTGCAACTTTTCTGTAAACCTAAAATTAATTCCAAAATAAAAAGTTTACTTTAAAAAAGATGATCAGGTGAGTTTTAAATTCTACACATGCATTCATGTACTCAACAAATTGTCTATTATGCATCAGGCACTGGGTATGAGTGCCTCAGTCATGATGCCACCCCGTGTGGGGTTCACAATCTTGTGGTAAGTTGGCGGTACCAGTAACCCTGTTTTATCTAAAAGCAAATCTCCAACTCGTATATTAACCTGACGAAATCTTGGCTGTTGGGGTGTCTAAAAAGAAGTCTTGCTCTATCCCTTCCTAGCTGTGTGACCTTGGCGAGCTAACCTCACTGTGTATCAGTTTCCTCAGTGCTAAAATTGGGGAAGAAAAAAAGCATTCCCTCGTGAGTCCTTAGCATGCTTTCAAGCAGTTACTAAATGTTAGTTTGTAAAACAGCTATAATTATTTAAAAAACACGGATTCATGAAGTCAAGAGATCAAGACCATCCTGGACAACATGGTGAAACCCCGTGTCTACTAAAAACAGAAAAATTAGCTGGGCGTGGTGGCGCGTGCCTGTAGTCCCAGCTACTCGGGGGGGGGCTGAGGCGGAAGAATCATTTGAATCCGGGAGGCGGAGGTTGCAGTGAGCCGAGATCGCGCTACTGCACTCCAGCTCGGGCAACAGAGCGAGACTCCGTGTCAAAGCAAGAAAAAAAAACAAAAAACACGGATATGGGGAAGCGTAACACTGCAGAGAGCCTGACATTTTTGTCAAGAAAGATTTGGGGATGAAAACACTGAATCCGCGGTTTCCCAAAGGTCCTTCCTTTAGGAAGGAGGTGATGGTCCCGGCACGAGTTCACAAACCGCAGGTCCGCTCCATCCCCGGCCCGGCGCCGCTCTTCCCAGAAGCTCGGCTCCGCCCCGCCCCCGACTCCGCTCGGCCCCTTCTCGCGCCATGGCCCCGCCCCTCCCGTGCGCGCAGCTTCGCCCCGCCCTCGGGATCCCGTCCCAACCTTGTGCTAAGCTCCCTTCAGTTTCAGAAGCATTCATTCCTATGCAGTCAGCTCCGCCCCTTTCTCCTCCAACTCCGCCTACGCCCCACAGAGGGAAGGCCTTAACACCTACGCTAGAGAGATAGACTCCAATGAAAAGAGCGAGGGGGCGGAGCCGGGAGGAATCGGTCCAACTCTCGGCCGGGAAATCTCTGGCCGGGGCGGGGCAGGGCGAACCTGCCAGCGACTGGACTCAGCTTTGCATAGCAATACACAGCTTTGCGTAACCAATACAGGAAGGCATTTAAAGGCGCCTCTGCCGCCACAGACCTTGCAGTTAACTCCGCCCTGACCCACGCTTCTCAATACAGTCCCTGATGCAGGCTCCCGTCCTGATCGCCCTGGGCTTGCTTTTCGCGGCCCCTGCGCAAGCCCACCTGAAAAAGGTGAGTGCACCCTCCTTTAAGAGGCTGTTTGCAGCCTCCTGGCCCAGCTACGGGTATGCGGGTCTGGCTGAGATATGGGGGTGGCCACTGCGTTATCTAGAGTTGGCTCTCTGCCCTAGAGCCTTCCAAAGTAACTAATTATGGGATTCTGGTCTGTACAATGAGGGTGGCCTGTAAAGACTTGTGCTCCAGGCCCTTTTTGGAGAGATTCATCTCACGTCTGCACTCTGCTGCCCTCTCTCCAAGCACCGGAGTGAAAATGCAGAGAGCCTTAAAACTAAGGCATTGCCCCCAGAGATTCAGTCCTGTTACCCTGCACCTTACTCCTGACTGCCACTCCTTATGTCCCCATGATAAGGCCTGTTGCCTCATCTCTTCCCCTGCTCGAATGCCCTGAGCTCTTCCTTAGACGTAGGAGGACTTGAGAGCTTCTCCAGGCCAGAGGATCCAGATTTGCCCATCTGGTGACAAATAACCAGGCCTGTGACCCCGCTGCCCTTGGTTGTGAGCCACTGAGACAACAGTCCCCCTACCCTCCAAGCTTCCTCCTTCACTTCTCATTCACACCGTGCTGCAGATCCCTGGGAAAGGGAAGTTCTGTAATCCCCTGACCTGAAAAAGCCTAGTTCCTGGCTTATTGCAACTAGCTTCATAGATTCAGTCTATGTTGTTGCAAATGACAAGATGTTCCCCCTTTTAAAGGCTGAATAGTATTCTGTTGTGCATATATGCCACATTTTCTTTATGCATTCAATTTGATGGATAATTTCTTTATCCATCAAGTGTCTGTTGATGGACACTTAGGTTATTCCCATATCTTAGCTATTGTGAGTAATGCTGCAGTGAATATGGGAGTGCAGATAGCCCTTCGAAATTTCAGTTCGTTTGGATACATACCCAGAAATTTCAGTTCCTTTGGGTATGTGCCCAGAAGTGGGATAATGGTTCATATGGTAGTTTTGTTTTATTATCTCACTTATATGCGGATTCTAACCAAGTTGAACTTACAAAAGTTGAGAGTAGAGATGGGGTCTCACTCTGTCACCCAGGCTGGAGTGCAGTGGGGCGATTATATCTCACTGCAGCCTTGAACTCCTGGGCTCAAACAGTCCTCCCACCTCAGCCTCCTGAGTAGCTGGGACTACAGGTGTGGGGCCACTGAGTTCTGCTAAGCAGTAGGCTTTGAGATTTATTGCACACCAGGGTGACTATAGTTAGTAATGTATTACATACAGAAGCTCCTTAACTTTCCATGGGGTTACGTTCTGATAAACCCATCGTAAGTTGAAAATACCATTAAGTTGAAAATGCATTTAATACAACTAACCTGAGCATCATAGCTTAGCCTAGCCTACCTTAAACATGCTCAGAACATTTACATTAGCCTACAATTGGGCAACATCATCTAACACAAAGCCGGTTTCATAATAAAGTGTTGAATGTCTCATGTGATTTATTGAAGACTGTACTGAAAGTGAAAAACAGTATGGATACTTAAAGTACAGTTTCCGCTGAATATTTGTCACTTAGGCACGATTGTAAAGTAGAAAAATGGTATGTCAAACCATAGTAAGTCAGGAACTGTGTGCACTTCAAAACAACCAAGAGAATACATTTCACATTGCACCCCGTAAATGTATACAACTGTGGTTTGTCAATGAAAAAAAAAACACCCAAGACCAGGTGCAGTGGTGCACACCTGTAATCCCAGCATTTTGGGAGGCTGAGGTGGGCAGATTACTTGAGCTCAGGAGTTCAAGACCAGCCTGGGCAACATGGCAAAGCCCCATCTCTGCAAAAAATACAAAAATTAGCTAGGCGTGGTGGTGTGCACCAGTAGGCCCAGCTACTCGGGAGACTAAGGTAAGAGGATCGCCTGAGCCTGGGAGGTCGTGGCCGCAGCTGAGATTGCACCACTGCATTCCGGCCTGGGTGATAGAGTGAGACCCTATCTCACAAAAAAACCCCACAAACAAAAACCCAATTCCATTGCCTCTTGGCTGCTAGCCAAGTCATCAAACATTTCTGGTAGCAAAGGGATAGGTCCACCCCTGATCCCCTCCCTCCTACCATCTTGGAAGTGTTTGAGAGTGAGGAACAGTGCTGTGTAGGGGAAAGTGTGTGGTACTGAAAGCAGGGAGGCTTGGCTTCTGATCCCTCCCCTGTCTCAATCCGTGTATTCTCTGAGTCTTGGTCTCCTCATCTGTACGATGGGTGTGATGGTGCCAACCTGAATCTCGTCAGTGAAGGGAAATGCATTCATTGATGGAAAAGTTCTAAAATCAGAAACAAATAAAGCTGTATAAATCTGTGGGCTTGGCCTCACTGTGCCCCCGAGGCAGAAAGTCTGTTTTGCTTGTTGAATGAAGGAATGTGGAACTTTTGACTTCATTTGCCTGGAGAATTTATACCTTGTTCCTGAATATTGGCTGGGAATGTTTCTCTTGGCTCCAGGGCTGGACGCTATGAGGTGGAGTCTGGCTAGAGGCTGCTAGCTTACCCTACAAACTTGTTCCCATTTACGCTGTGGGTATGGATGCCATCTCAGACTAGGTCTTAGATTGGCAGTTTTGAAGAGGCTCTGAGACATTATAAAGGTCACTCAAAATCACACAGCACCTACATCTCAGGGCTCATGTGATTCAGAGGCCTGACCTTGAGTCCCTGGGCCAGATAAAGACTGGGGGAGCGGGGGGTGACAGTGAGTGAACATCAGGAAACCTGAATTTCAGTTCCTCTTCTAGCATAACTGATCTTGTGACTACGGGCTGTGATGAGTGTTAGATAACAGGGGAGGATATCTAGCCCCATGCTAGTCATATAGTAGATGCTTAATAGACTATAGTGCTATATAGTGGCTGTCATTTGTTGTACACATACTATGTGCTATGTATTGAGCTATGTGCTTTTTTCCTAAAAAAAAAAGATTTGGAATAATTTTAGGTTTATGGAAAAGTTGCAGCGGTGCGTGGTGGTTCACCTCTATAATCCAGCACTGTGGGAGACCGAGGCAGGCAAATCACTTGAGGCCAGGAGATCGAGACCACCCTCAACCTGGCCAACATGGTGAAACCCTGTCTCTACTAAAAATACAAAAATTAGCCAGGCATGGTGGCGTACACCTGTAGTCCCAGCTACTTGGGAGGCTGTTGCAGGAGAATCACTTGAACCTAGGAGGCAGAGGTTGCAGTGAGCTGAGATTGTGGCTGCTGCTCTCTAGCCTGGGTAACAGAGTGAGACCCTGTCTCAAGAAAAAAAGAAAGAGAGAAAGAAAAGTTACAGAGATAATATAGAATTTCTATATAATCCTGACTCAGTTTCCCCTGTTAGCATCTTACATGTACATATCTCCAAAACTAAGAAACCAACGTTAGTACATTACTGTTAACTGAATTCTAGACTTTGTTTGGATTTCACCAGTTTTCCCATTAATGCCCTCTTTCTGAGCCAGGATCCAATCCAGGGTACTGCATTGCCATTGTCATGACACATATCACTGTAGTCCCCACTCTTCTCTAGCCTATGACAGCTTCTTAGTCTTTCCTTGTTTATTCATGAGCCTGACAGTCTTGAGGAGTTGTGCCCTGTGCTTTCTGTATACAAACATCTTGCCCTCACAATAGTCCCGTGAGAAGATACCATTATGTCCACGTAATAAATGAGGAAATTTTGAACCTCTAAGGGGTTAACTTAGCCATGGTCTCAGCTAGTGAGACTGGCTGAGCTGGGTTTTAACTCATACCTGTAGTACCCATATCTCTGCCTCCAGAGCTGTGCCTTTCCCCTCCGTCTTGTGCCACCCCTTCCCACTTGTTGGCCTAGGCTGGGATGACAGATATCTGGTGACCAGCCTGGCCTTGGTGGGCACTGCTAATCCATGACACCTCCCTTTCCCTATGAGCCTGGACTCAGCAGCAGAATTTGTCACTACAGAGACAGCTAGCTGGGCACTACCCTTAGGAAGCCATCTTGTTACGTCTCCCCCAGGACCTGGGGAAAGGAGAGCTTAGGAGAGGGGAAGGGATTCTTCTCCAAAAGGTACTCTGGACTCTGGATACCCTACCCCCACCCCCAGCCCGGAATCAATCCTCTGTGTGGATCAGGCTGCCTTAGAATCTGTGAAGCAGCCCCACCCAGAAAACTAGTCCTGCTCCCATGTTGCCCTCCAGCCTGACTCTTAATTCCAGGCATTCTTTCCCTTGACCACTTTCAGTCTGTTCACAACCACAAATCACAGTGTAGCACTGGCCTTCAGTGGGGTTCCACGCACCTATAGTAAAAGCAACCTCTCGATTATGGCTTGTGGGGTCCTGCATTAAATGACCCTGCCACCCCTCCAACCTCATCTGGGTCCCTCATCCACTACATTTAGCCCATGGCCTTCTCCCAGTGCCTAGAGCAGTCAAGCTTCTTTGTGCCTCGGGGCCTTTGCCTGAGTTCCCTCGGCCTGGCCTGCACTTACATGTCTGACTCCTCATCCCCCAAGCGTCCAGCTTAAGTATCACTTCCCCACCACCCTATCTAAGTGAGTCCTTTGTTGCCGTCAGCATTACCTTCTGCTCTTTTCCTTTGTGGCACTCACAAATCACAGTGGGTGATATTTATTTGCATTAGACGGTAAGCTCCTCAAGGCAGGGCAGGAGCCAGGTGTGATTGTTTACCACTCTTGCCACAGTACTTAGCCCAGGGCCTATCATCATTGCTCCATAAATATTTGTGAAATGATTGTTGAAGGAAACATTTATTGGCAACTATCCTGTCTTGCCTTTCTTAGTCATGACATGACCTTTCATTCCAAGGGGTAGGAACCCATTCCTAAAAGCTCAGCTAAAGGGGAAGTTTATTACAGAGCTACAAGACATCTCATGGAGCTGCCGGCAGGAAGCGGAGGCTAGGATGCTAATGGCTCCCATTTAGTGAGCCGGCTCGCGTGCGTTGTGCCTGGCATTGGGTTATGAGCTTTACATACATACTCTAGCCCTTGCAACATCCTGGAGAGGAAGGTAGAAATGCTTCCAGTTAAAAGATGTGGAAATTTAGACTCCAAAGGTGAAATTGGCCTATAAAATCACATGGTAAGTGTGGCAGAGATATGATTTCCACCCCGGGCTGTTTGGCTAAAGTTGTCATTCACCCATGTCTCTCCAAAGCCGTGCCCTTCACTGCTACTCCATACTGCTTTCATAGATAGGGAAGTGGGACTTCATCTGTTCCGTTTTCCACAGACCAACAGAGCCCGTAGCTCTTATCCCTTCATTAACTTCTGCTTGGTCATGGATCACAGATCTAGATGGTCTGGCCTCAACCCAAAACTTAGGATCCAGTGACAGCACAAAAACCCTGTATCCCCAGCCTTTTATGCCTTAATTCCAAAATTGGGCAGAGAGAATCTGTCAGCCTAGCTGGGGTTAAGTGATCCATCTTGATCCAGTCAGTGATGGGAGTATTGAAGGTGGGCATCAACTTGGGGGTGTGGGACTGGCAGGTTTTCTCTCTGAGACAGAGTGTGGATGGAGGGAATGCCAACAGTCTCTCATAGGTGGCCTCCAGGGGGCTGGGAGAGGTGCGAATGGGTGGGCAGATAGTCTTCACGGTGTGGGAGGTGTTCAAGATCATCAGACAGGCCGGGAGCGGTGGCTCACGCCTGTAATCCCAGCACTTTGGGAGGCCGAGGCGGGTGGATCATGAGGTTAGGAGTTCGAGACAGGCCTGGCTAACACGGTGAAACTCAGTCTCTACTAAACAAAATACAAAAAATTAGTCGGGCATGGTGGTGGGCGCCTGTAGTCCCAGCTACTGGGAGGCTGAGGCAGGAGAATGGCGTGAACCTGGGAGGTGGAGCTTGCAGTGAGCTGAGATCACGCCACTGCACTCCAGCCTGGGTGACAGAGTGAGACTCCGTCTCAAAAAAAAAAAAAAAATCAGACAGGGTCCTGTTGGAGTGCAGAGTGGTGGTCACATGCAGTCACATGCAGATGTAGTGGTGGTGGAATCAGGAGACCTGGGGGATGTGGAGGAGGAACAGGAGGAGCAGCTCAGCAGAGGTCATGACCCTAGTGGGCGCATGACCTGAGAAGTGGGATGGGAAGAAGACACTGGTTAGGACTGGGGAAGTCCATTCACTGGGGATTATTCATCAGCAAGTGATCCACTGGGGATCTTTTCATGAGTGTCCTATTCCTTCCTGAGTTAATCACCTGCCCCTTGAGAGTGGGATTTCAGATGCCGTTAGATTTCCCATTGTGTTTTGTGTTTCCCATTGTTCCTGGCTCTGGGTTGGGCATGGGGTGTGACATGAACAAGGTCCTGAGTGTGGGCTGCAGAGCTGAATCCTCCAGGAGCTTGCCCTCTGCTGGGATCCCAAGGCTGGCTGGAGAGGAGCGGGCAGCAGGGAGGAGGGAAGTCAGAGAAGGTGCCCACCAAAGGACGATTAGGTCAGTCTCCGGTTTTGAAGTTCCAGGTCTGTCATATCCTGCCTTATAATTTACAGTATACTTTTGGGAGATTATGTCTTTTAAGTCTTTTAGTTTAGTCCTGCCTATGAAATGAGTAGGACAAGTGTTATCCCAGGTTCATAGGTATGGAACCTCATAGAGGAGGCTCAGGGATGGGGGTGCCTCACCCAAGGTCACACTGCCAGGAGCTCGTTTTTCCTGTGATCTGTGATAGTTTCTTTTCAACCTTTTTCTTCTCTTCCTTCCTTGCTGCCTGATTGTCCCCGGCCATCTCAGCTTGGTAGCTTCTCCTGGGATAACTGTGATGAAGGAAAGGACCCTGCGGTGATCAGAAGCCTGACTCTGGAGCCTGACCCCATCCTCATTCCTGGGAACGTGACTGTCAGTGTCGTGGGCAGCACCAGTGTTCCTCTGAGTTCTCCTCTGAAGGTGAGCCTGGGGGTGGGTAGGGAAGGGGAGGTGCCAGGTCTGGCCAGCAGGGGCACTGTGGCATGTATGCTTGGGGAACGGTGAAGAATTTCAGAATCCTGGATTCCCAGAGAATAGTACAGGACATGTAGATTCAGACACTCTTTCACAGGTTCATGGAATCTCAGGATCATGGGATTGAAAGGAATCTCTGATGTCAGCGCCAGCAACTTCCTGGTGAGGGCAGGAGTGATGGATACCTTGCGCCTGGCAGGAGCGTCCTGGCCTTCTCTGGGCCTGATGGCCAATGGCTCGTTATTGTCTGACAACTCTGGTTGGCCAATTCGGTTTTGTAGTTAATTATAAAATCGATATACCAATTAGCCAGTAATATATAGTCACTTTAGAAAACAGAAGTCATCAAAAAATAAAATAAAATAGGCCAGGTGTGGTGGCTCACGCCTGTAATCCCAACACTTTGGGAGGCTGAGGTGGGCGGATCTTTTGAGGTCAGGAGTTTGAGATCAGCCTGGCCAACATGGTGAAACCCCATCTCTACTAAAAATATAAAAATTAGCTGGGTGTGGTGGCATGTGCCTGTAATCCCAACTACTCAGGAAGTTGAGGTAGGAGAATTGCTTGAACCTAAGAGGTTGCAGTAAGCCAAGATCGCACCACTGCACTCCAACTTGGGTGGACAGAGTGAAATTCTGTCTCTAAATAAATAAATAAATATCATTTGAAATCTCACTACCTAGTGATAAGGGGTAAGCACTTGTAACATCTTACAGGATATTCTTTGCAACTTTCCCCCATACAATTACATATATAACATACATATTTATTTTTAATGGATAGGTATAATAGGCAGTGCTCATTGTAAATGTCCTCCAGTAATTTAAATCCTAGAGATAGTCAGTGTTTGCTCTTTAAATATCCAGTCAGAATTTTTATGTGTTTGTAAATATATATACACTTATACTCATGGGATTATATGAGATGTGCTATTATACTTGCTTTTTTTTTTTTTGCATCATACTATATGTTCCATATCTGTTTCCAAGGATTAGGTGACTCTACTTAGTCAATTTTTTTTTACCCAATCATTATTTAATTATTTTAATTTATTGTAATTTTAGAACAATGTCTCACTCTGTTGCTCAGGCTGGAGTGCAGTAGTGTGATCATGACTTACTGCAGCCTTGGGCTTAAGGGATCCTCCCACCTCAGCCTCCTGAGTAGCTGGGACCACAGGCGCATGTCACCATGCTTACCTAATTTTTAAATTTTTTATGGAGACAGAGCCTCCCTGTGTTGCCCAGGCTGGTCTCAAACTCCTGGGCTCAAGCAATCCTTCTCCCTCAGACTCTCAAAATGTTGGGATTATAGGCGTGAGCCACCTCGCTCAGTCCACCCAATCATTTTTAATGGCAGAAATATTCTGATGTGGATCTTTCATAATTTGTATAACAAGTCTATTGTTGAACATTTAGTTTGTTTCCAGGGTAAGTTTTGTTTGTTTGTTTGTTTGTTTGTTTTGAGACAGGGTCTTACTCTGTCGCCTAGGCTGGAGTGTAGTAGTGCGATCTCAGCTCCCTGCAATCTCTGCTTCCCGGGTTCAAGTGATTCTCCTGCCTCAGCCTCCCAAAGTGCTAGGATTATAGGCACCTGCCATTGCATCCCACTAATTTTGTATTTTTAGTAGAGATGGGGTTTCACCATGTTGGCTAGGCTGGTCTTGAACTCCTGATCTCAGGCAATCTGCGTGCCTCGGCCTCCCAAAGTACTAGGATTATAGGCTTGAGCCACTGTACCCGGCCAGAGTATTTTTTGTTTGTTTGTTTTTTGTTTTGCTATAATAACTACCTTTGTAGAAATTATTCTTATAGTACATCTTTTTATAATTTTCTGATTATCTAGATACACACTTTTTAGGTCTTTTGATACATATTGCCAAAGTGCCTCCCAATGTTTGAACAAACTTGCATCATTCCTAGTGAGCGCAGATGTCTATTCATAAGTTTATTTGCCTTTTTTTTTTTTTTTTTTTGAGACGAAGTCTCGCTCTGTCGCCCAGGCTGGGGTGCAATGGCCGGATCTCAGCTCACTGCAAGCTCCGCCTCCCGGGTTTACGCCATTCTCCTGCCTCAGCCTCCCGAGTAGCTGGGACTACAGGCGCCCGCCACCTCGCCCGGCTAGTTTTTTTGTATTTTTTAGTAGAGACGGGGTTTCACTGTGTTAGCCAGGATGGTCTCGATCTCCTGACCTTGTGATCCGCCCGCGTCGGCCTCCCAAAGTGCTGGGATTACAGGCTTGAGCCACCGCGCCCGGCCTTATTTGCCTTTTGTGTTTACTTTGGGAATAACCTGTTTGTTTCCATCCATTGACTATTTTAGGGGTGTATGTTTTTATATTTTCTTAGAAAACAATGAAGACTTTTCATATATCCATTGCAACACCATTTATTATGGTCCTTTCCTCTCTAGCTAAAATTGCTACCTTTATATGATGTTCCTCTATGCCCTTCAGTCTGTTCCTGATCCAGATCTATTCTGGTACCAGTTTTGTCTAATTATTTAGAAGATTCCTGATTTGGAATCTGTGTTTCTGTCATTACCCTTAGACCTGTCTTAATCACAGCTCCTACCTTATGGGCTTTCCTTGAGCAATACCTGAGTTAGAAAATAATGTAGAGAGTGCTTTGCACAGGGCCTGGCACTCAGGACGTGCTCAGTACATGTTAGATCTTGTGAACATTTCGATTAGTATCTGTCTTATCCTGCAGCCTCTTGACCCAGACACAAGTCCGAGATATGTGGCAGCTTTCAGCTCCCCTGCACCTCCTACCAAGTCTTTTCCTAGCAGAGTCATTGTATTTCCATTACCGTTCCTCAAGCGATAGGGGGTCAAGCCCTGTACCCTTGGATCTGGGCCAAAGGATGGAATCATTCCCTATATATGGACACTGGACTGTTTCTCTGCCAGGGTCACACACATTTATTTGTGTGCTCCCTCTACTGAATCTGGAGTGTGGGCTTTCCTGGTAGGCCATCCGCCATGCTCCCTCTGCTGCCATCACCATGCAACCACTAATGGCGTTTCCAGGGACGGGGCTATGCAACTGACTTGGAAACAAGCAGCTGGCAAACCCCCTCTTCTGCCCTCAGCCTGCTTTTCCTGGCTTCTTCACAAATCATTAAGATGGGTTTTACTCCCTACTCTTCTTTTCCATTGCCTCATTACCTGTCATAAATTTGGGCCTACATAATCTCCTCTGTCTTTACTGTCACTTGTGCTTAGTAAAAATTGGCCTCAGATCCCCTCTGCTCCTTCTCTTTCCCCAATTTATTTATTTATTTATTTATTTTATTTTATTTTATTTGAGATGGAGTTTCACTCTGTTGCCTAGACTGGAGTGTAGTGGCACAATCTTGGCTCATTGCAACCTCCACCTCCTGGGTTCAAGGGATTCTCCTGTGTCAGCCTCCAGAGTAACTGGGATTATAGGTGTGCGCTACCACGCCTGGCTAATTTTTGTATTTTTAGTAGAGATGGGGTTTCATCATATTGGCCAGGCTGGTCTCGAACTCCTGACCTCAGGTGATCCGCCTGCCTTGGCGTCCCAAAGTGCTGGGATTACAGGAGTGAGCCACCACGCCTGGCCCCCAATATTTCTTTTCTATATATATATATATATATATATATATATTTGGTTCAGTTCTTTTTTCAGATATGTGCATATCAACTATTAGATGAAAGCTCTTCTGACCACTTGCTGGGGAGAAGAGACGATGAGGCACAAAGGGTCTCAGGAAAGGTTGCAACTTGCCCCAGGTCACAAAGCTAGTTGTTAGCATGGACAAAGCTGGTGTGTTTATCTTGGGGTTTGTTTCCTGAGCTTTTACTGGCAGGGAGGTAGACTTAGTGCTTGGTGTATTTGCAGGGGAGGGGAGAGGAGTGCTGCAGATTCAGTTCCAGAACTCTCCCCTTGCCCAGCAGACCCGCTTATGAGAGCTGCCCAGAACTAAGCTCTAGATGAGCCTGGAGCACTCTTGGGGTCCGTGGGGCTTCGACCCCTTGTTGCACTGAGGCCCAGAGGAGAGTGACTGCCCAAACCCAAGAAAGCAGCTGCCATCCTCTCTTCCTCTGATCTTGCTGTAGTGAAATTTCTTTAATCAAAAGTCAATCTGCGACCTGGGTGGATTTGACCCCAGCTGCAATTTTTAAAAGTTAGATATCCCAGATTCCATGGCCATGGGTAAGACTGGAGCCTGCTCAGGAGCTCCCTTTTCTCTTTTGACTTGCTCCATGGGATCCGGCATAGCCACTGCCCAGCCCTCCCTCAAGTTCCAGCCTGTGGGACCCTGGTTTTCCCATCCTTGAGAATTGTAAATTATCACTGTATTTGTCTTATTCCAGCCTTTCAGGCCTGATAACTTGGTTCCCCTAGCACCCAAAGTCATATACATGCCTGGGCTTGTTACTCTGCCTCGCTTCCTTTTCTGAGTCATGGTAGCAAATAGATTGAGAATCAGAAATGAGCCATCATTTGTAATTTCCGAATGGTAGGCGTGGCTGCTGCCTTAGAACCCTCTGTTGACTTCAGTTCAGTACACTTCTTGTGTCGTGCTGGTCCTGTGCTGGGGGTAGAAGTAGAGATGAGGGAGGCACTACCCCTTCTGGTAGATGCAGTCCTACAGGTTCCAGCCTGGTGGGAGGAGCGCTGGCAGGACTTGTCCCCCTACTGGCCTCCTCTGCTGCGTGCTCTCGCTCAGGGCATAACTGGTTCAAACATTCTCATTACGGTATTGGCGACACAAGGAGAGAGTATTGGCTAAGGAAAAAGGCAGGGCAGAAGTCACGAAGGAGGAAGCTTTTGATTTCAGGCACTGTGCGAAGTGCTGGTATTTCCCTCTCAATGGGACCTGTGAGAGAGGTAGGCACTCTAAAATATCCCATTTTTGAAGATGAGGTGAGGATGAGGTTCACGCCTGTAATCCCAGCACCTTGGGGGGCCGAGGCGGGTGGATCATTTGAAGTCAGGAGTTTGCGACCAGCCTGACCAACATGTTGAAACCCCATCTCTACTAAAAATACAAAAACATTAGCTAGGCGTGGTAGCTCATGCCTGTAATCTCAGCTACTCAGGAGGCTAAGACAGGAGAATCACTTGAACCCAGGAAGCAGAGTTTAGAGTGAGCCAAAATCGCGCCACTATACTCCAGCCTGGGTGACAGAGTGAAACTCTGTCTCAAAAAAAAAAAAAAAAAGGTAAGGGGATAGCCACTGAGAGAGATTAAGCAACTCACCCAAGGGGACAATAAAACTAGGAAGTGGCAGAACTAGCATTCCAACCTAGGCCCTCTGACTTTTCCTAGGCAGCGGGGTAGAAGCAGGTTTGATGAGAGAGAGGAGGGCTGAGAGGGTGCTGTGTGGCCAGTGGTGGAGATAATGGGTATGTCTTAGCAGCAGATGAGGCCAGTGAGAGGAGCAATTTGAATTTGTCCACTCAGAACACAGGATGTGCTGACTTCTTTGTTCTTTCTGGGCCTGGAGGAAGGCAGGAAGGCAGCTAGTATCTCGACATCTGGGGCATCTGGAAGACTTGAGTCTGTGGCCTGGGAACCAGCCTGAGCCCAGCAGCCTCTGAGGATGTAAGTGCCCATCCAGGATTTATCTCTTAGAAACAGAGCCCCAAATAAAGTGAGCCTAGAGGCTGGGATTCCTAGAATGTTAGAATGTCAGAGCTGAAAGGGATCCTAAAAATGTGATTTCCTGCCATAACGCCGATAAGGAATCAGATATTTGAGAAAGCTAATTTCCTAGTACTCTTTCCTTAGAATTTTACCTTGATACCTTTGGTGGGTGATGGACATGGTTCTAAAGGACCACTCATTTGACACTAGAGGCAACTAATACATGGTGACTGTTCAGCACGTGCCCGGCACAACTGGGACATCCGCCATGAAATTCTGGCCACTTCCTCCTGGTCAGCTTCAACCTCCAAAACGGGAGCAAAGTCACGACAGCATGGAGGTGTGAAGTGTGCTCTAGAGCTTCTCACCCAGCTCGACTCCAGGCACAAGAGTCTTTTGTAGCTTTCCCAGCTGAGTCAGGGAGCCCCCTACTCCTTGCGGTAGCTCCATCTGTTGTAACCTAGCTACAATTTTATACCAGTCCCAAGGTGATCTTTCTATACATTCCTGTTGTTCTTCATTCTGTCTTCTGTGGCTGTAGAGAGAAAATGTGACCCAGGAGCAGCCAGTTGGGTTCATTTTGGTAACCAGCTCATCAGTTGGTAGTAACTACCTGAAGTCCTATGAAGAAAAGGATTCTGGGGCCAAGACTGGGCTCAGAAGGAAAACCCAGGAAACAATGCCACAGTTAACCAGTTAGCAGTTAGATGACAAGTGCATTTCAATGCAAGTGTTAGAGTCAATCAATGGGTAGTGACCACCTAAATAATTCTAAGACTATGGACTGGTCATGATGGCTCACACCTATAATCCCAGCACTTTGGGAGTCCTGTAATCCCAGCACTTTGGGAGGCCTGTAATCCCAGCACTTTGGAAGGTGAGGTGGAATGATTGCTTGAGGCCAGGAGTTCCAGACCAGCCTGGGCAACAAAGTGAGACCCCATCTCTACAAAAAATATAGAATGAGCTGGGTGTGGTGGCACGTGCCTGCCTGTGTTTCCCAACTACATGGGAGGCTGAGGCAGGAGGATCAGCTGAGCCCAGGAGGTTGAGGCTGCAGTGAGTGCAGTGAGCCATGATACAAAAAAAAAGAATCCTAAGTCTATGTATAGTTCAGTGTAGGGGGAAAATTCACATTTGATTATTAATGTCTGCCATGGGCACAATAATACACTATACTCACACATGGGCCACAGTGTTGCCATTCCTGGAACAGACTGTCTCTAAGATCTTATCCAGTTAAAAATTCTTTGATTAAACTATATTGCTGCTTTTTTGAAGAGACAGAAGAGCTGGTATGTTTGCCCTGGAATTTATACTTATAACCTTTTTCAAACCTTTTTTTTTTTTTTTTTTTTTTTACCAGGTGGAATTAGTTCTGGAGAAGGAAGTGGCTGGCCTCTGGATCAAGATCCCATGCACAGACTACATTGGCAGCTGTACCTTTGAAGACTTCTGTGATGTACTTGACATGTTAATTCCTACTGGGGAGCCCTGCCCAGAGCCCCTGCGTACCTATGGGCTTCCTTGCCACTGTCCCTTCAAAGAAGTAAGTACTTAGGGAGGAGAGAGCGTTACCCCTGTGGCTAAAGAGATGGGGTTTGGAGAGAAGGGTCTTTGCATTCTCCTCCTGCAGATCTGCATGTCTCTGGATTTGTAAGCCAGTGTGACCTATCAGGAATCACTTATCTTTCGGGAGCCTCAGTTATCCATCTATGAAATGGGAGACTTGAACTTAGACGTGATCTTCAGGGCCCTTTTCCCATAATAATCCATGCTGTACAGTGCTATGGCAGTCTGTAATCTTGTGTGGTGGTTTCGAGAATGGGAAGAGGGGTGGTAGTTCATGGCTACAATCCTAGCAGTGGCTCTAGGAGAAAGACCCCATCAGTAGGCTCCCACTGACTGGCTGTCCACTGGCTTTCCCACAGGGAACCTACTCACTGCCCAAGAGCGAATTCGTTGTGCCTCACCTGGAGCTGCCCAGTTGGCTCACCACTGGGAACTACCGCATAGAGAGCATCCTGAGCAACCGTGGGAAGCGTCTGGGCTGCATCAAGATCGCTGCCTCTCTAAAGGGCGTATAACGTGGCATCTGCCACAGCAGAATGGAGCAGTGTGAGGAAGGTCCCTTTTCCTCTGTTTTGTGTTTGCCAAGGCCAAACTCCCCCTCTCTGCCCCCCTTTAATCCTCTTTCTACAATGAGTCCGCTACGCTTACTGAAAATCATTTTGTGCCACTTACATTTTAGGCTGGGACAAGCAGCCCTGACCTAAGGGAGGATGAGTTGGGCAGTTCTTGATAGCCCGGGGCATCTGCAGGGCTGACCACGTTACTCATCCCGGTTAACATTCGCTCTTTCTCTCTAAAGAGCCTCGTTCATTTCCAAAGCAGTTAAGGAATGGGAACCAGAGTGTTTTAGGACCTGAAGAATCTTTATGACTTTCTCTCTCTCACTCTTTTTTTTTTTTGTCACTAAGTTAAAAGCAAAGTGAGAGTATTAACGTTTTTATTCTCCTCCAACCCCCTGTTACAATGAAGGGGCGAAAGTATTTGCTCTTAGTCTATTCCTCCCTTAACTTCTGTGACTAATTTTAATTTCCTTTCTAGATTTGCCCAGTTAATACTAGGGTGCAGTGTATCCTGGAGAGGTAGGGTCGGGGGGAAGAATCCCTTGGGGGAGATATTAGGGGTGCTCCGTTGTTTACAAACTCAGGTACCCACAGGGCTTAGCAAGAGACTTAAATGAGTGACAAGAACCATGAGAAACAAGTTGCTTCCAGGCTTGATTTCGACTTTTCCCTTTTTTTTGGAGACAGAATCTCACTTTGTCACCAGGCTGGAGTGCAGTGGTGTAATCTCGGCTCACTGCAACCTCCGCCTCCTGGGTTCAAGCGATTCTCCTGCCTCAGCCTCCCAAGTAGCTTGGACTACAGGCGCCCACCATCACGCCTGGCTAATTTTTGTATTTTTAGTAGAGATGGGGTGTCACCGTGTTGGTCAGGATGGTCTCGATCTCTTGACCTCGTGGTCTGCTCACTTGGCCTTGGAAAGTGCTGAATTACAGTTGTGAGCCACTACACCCAGCTGATTTTTCCTTTTTGAGTAAAGGTACTATTACGATGTAAATATTTCTTATACAGAAAGTCACAGCACATGTGCCCATTGATACAAGGCCTCTGAGGCCTGGTCTCCAGTTGGAAATATAATTAAGGGTGACAAGGACTGGAGTAAGTTGGAGAGTGCATAGCGAGTCTGTGAAGACAAGTGCTACCTAGCTATGACCAGTCAGTGCCACGTAAGAATGGTGTGGGCCCAGTATTGCCAGATACTGGCAATATTCCAGCCTGGTGACAGAGTGAGACTCTTGTCTCAAAAAAAAAGTTTCATTGTTTACTCCTAGAGAAGCCAAAAATCCAGATTTGTATATGAAATCTCACCATTTTAAAAGATTGGCAGCTAATGATTTTTTTAAAAAAGCTGTGCAGTGTGATGTATCCCAAACGGACTGGCTCATGGGTGGCCACTTCACAACCTCTGATCTCAGGCCGTGCATGCTTTGTCTTCTTAAGACAACTCCTGTGGCACCATTTCTCCCTCCACAGGGCCAAAGCCATAGTGTCCGGTCCCAAGGAGAAGGCACTTCCAGTGCTAGGAGAGGTATGGACAGCCTCTCACCTGTGAGCTGTGGCTGCCTCAGTCTCAGAGTCCTGTCGGGTGAACGAGGCAGATGGGAAAGAGTTAGCTTTACCAGCAGCTGCTTTTGGAGCAGGGGTCCAAGGAAGAGAGGGTGGCCTCGATATCAAACTGCCTGGATTTTTCTACCACCCTGTTACACCATAACAACTTCTGAACCACACACCAGCCCTGAGTTCTGGGCTCATCTGAAGCCTGGAATAGCAATAAATCTTTTTAACTTGCTGACAGTTTCTCCCTTGCTTTGGTTCCAGATTTCACTGATCACATTTCAAAAGTGTTTTTGGGGTGGGGCTCTTTTGGTTGGAAGGGTTTGTTGGAACGGTACAGGTGAGCCGAGGCGATTCCAGGGACGGACCCTTCTGCTTATGTCGCAGGAGCTTGCTTGTTGTCTCTGCTTCATCGCCATCCAGTTCCCTCGTTTGCTATTTTGCTTTCCATCACATCATGACTGCGGAGAGTGAAAATCACCTGGTGACCATTGAACAGGCCCCAGAGACAAAATCTTTTTATCTGAGGAATTTAAAAGGGAGCAAAGACCACCTGGTGACTATCAAACAGGCCATGCAGAGGCAAAACTCCTTATCTGGGGAAAATAAGAAGTAATTAGACTTTCCTATTATCTAAAGCAGGCATCTGGTTCCAGATTTCTTTTCCCCGAAAAAAACCTTACAAGTAACTAAAATTTCTGGCCGGGTGCCGTGGCTCATGCCTGTAATCCCAACACTTTGGGAGGCCGGTCTGCTCACTTGGCCTTGGAAAGTGCTGAATTACAGTTGTGAGCCACTACACCCAGCTGATTTTTCCTTTTTGAGTAAAGGTACTATTACGATGTAAATATTTCTTATACAGAAAGTCACAGCACATGTGCCCATTGATACAAGGCCTCTGAGGCCTGGTCTCCAGTTGGAAATATAATTAAGGGTGACAAGGACTGGAGTAAGTTGGAGAGTGCATAGCGAGTCTGTGAAGACAAGTGCTACCTAGCTATGACCAGTCAGTGCCACGTAAGAATGGTGTGGGCCCAGTATTGCCAGATACTGGCAATATTCCAGCCTGGTGACAGAGTGAGACTCTTGTCTCAAAAAAAAAAAAAAAAAGTAACTAAAATTTCTGTACATCTCCGGAATGCGATGCTGAAACTGACTGTGCAACCCCAAGGTCCCGCTTTAAGGTCCATAAATATCCCTAAGGAAAAATCCACCGTGGTATGCTCAGTCCTCTCACCAGGGCGCCCCACTGCAGTCTTCTGCAGCATTCTTCCTTTCTAATACCTTTCCTTTTTCAAACCTATACTGTTGTTGGTGAATTATTTTTACCCACCCACGAGTTGACCACTTCTCAATGCTGGGGCTCTGACACTTCGCCTGGCAATGACCTTCACAGCTGTTTCTCTCTGTTGGATCTTCCAGCCTTATTCTCAACAGTTGCTTTTTAGTTCACATTCTTCACCGAATCTCAGTAGCTCAGTTAATCTTTTTATGTCTGCTCTGCTCTTGAGTCATATGTTCCTTGAAGTTTCTTAGGGGTGGGGGATGAGGAGTTAAAGGTGGCATCTTCAAGCGCAGGTCAAAGCAGACTTTTTAATAAATGGTGCTGAGCCAACTGGAAAGCCACTTGGAGAAAGCTGAGGTTAGACCTGTACTTCACACCATATGCAAGAATGAACTCCAAGTGGATCCAGGATCCAAATGAAAGAAAATGAAGCCATATAAATACAGAAGGAAACGTGGTGGAAATATCCAGTGGCAACAAAATATTGACACATTTGACTACATAAAGAGAAAAAAAATGCTTGGTAAAAACACAATAAAATCAAATGACTGGGAGAAAAATTTATCCAGCCTATATCACAGACAAATAGTATTCTTACTATATAAGGAATTAAAAATTAAGGGACAAAGGACCAAAAACTTGATAGAAAAACTGGGAAAAGACATGAACATACACACTCATGTAAAGATATAAAATGGCTCTTTAAAATGAAATATTCGAACTAACTTGTTAGAGAAATGTAAATTGAGATAATATTGAGATACCATTTATCATCTCAGACTGGTGAAAGGAAGAACAACACATTCTGTTAGGCAAGGCTATAGGGAAACACACTGTCATCACTGTTGGTGGGAATGCAAACTAGTATGACTTTTCTGGAGGGGAATTTGTCAGTACTTAACAAATTGCAGAAGCATTTACCTTTTGACACAACTATTTCCACTGTGGGAATTTCCCTTGAAGATGCACCTCCAACAGTACAAACATACGGATGCACAAAATTACTCATTGCAGCACTGTGACTGCAAATATTGGAAGCAAAGTCATGTTCATATACATGAGAAAGGCTGAGTAAACCATGGCACCATGGCATACCCACATGGAATATTACTGAGCTGTAAAAAAAAAATGAAGATCTTTATGAATCAGTATAGAGTTATTTTCAAGATACATTAAATGCAAAAAGCAAAGTACAAAAAATAGAATGTGGTACTTTTTATGTAAGAAAGAAGGAGATGTAAGAACATGTATCTGCTTGTTTATGCAAAGTAAATAAGGAAAGATTGGCCAGAAAGTAATGAGCTCTATGGATGGTAGGTGGGTGTAGAGTAGAAAGAAAGGAGAAATCATAATGGTATAAAGGAGGCAGGGATGGAACACTGCCAGGTGTATCTGAGTATATTTTGTTTAGCTGTGACTCTTAGAGCCATAGTAATGTTTCTCATGCCCCCAAAAGTAATTAAAGTCAACCAGGATATGAGGAGAGTTCAAAATGAAATACAAACAGTAACAGATGAACTTAACTGTATTTCAAATGCACAATACAACCACATTGAAGGAGGTGGGCAAGAAAAATAAGAAGTGATAGCATTTTGATGGGATACTTGAAAGAGAAAAGAAACAGTACACAAATACCAGAGTCTAGTTAGCAAATTTTTCACAGAAGCAAAAATTAGCAACTCAGGAAGTCCTTTACGTGTGTATTAGAATTGGGAAAATAAATATATGGTAGGTAACGACAACATGGGGGACATATTGAAAGGACACAGGAACCAAATTGAACATCCCTCAGTGGCCAAATCTTGGGCAATTTGAGCAATAAAATAATGACAATAATGGGTTATAGTCCACTGACTAAAAATACACTATAGAATCCCATACACAATGGAATCACAAATGTAGAAGGAACGATAGAAATAGAAGAAATGGCTGGGTGCAGTGGCTCACACCTGTAATTCCAGCACTTTGGGAGGCCAAGCCAGGTGGATCGTCTGGGGTCAAGAGTTCAAGACCAGCCTGGCCAACATGACGAAACCCCTGTCTCTACTAAAAATACACAAAATTAGCCAGGTGTAGTGGTGCGCGTCTGTAATCCCAGCTACTCCGGAGGAAGGAGAATCACTTGAACTCGGGAGGTGGAGGTTGCAGTGAGCCGACACCGTGCCGCTGACCTCTAGCCTGGGCGACAGAGTGAGACTCCATCTCAAAAACAAACAAAAAAACACCACTAGGCAAACACCCTAGGAATAGTTGTTGCAGACAAACACCTATGAATGCTGAATTAGTGAATAGAAGTATGATGGGAAACAGGATTTTGCATGATTTTAAGATCTCTTCACAAGGTACTAATTACAAAGGGAAAAACAGTCACTATAGTGAAGAAACCTGACAGAAACCACCTTAACCAAGTGATCAAGTTAACATCACCACTAATAAGGCATACTGATACCACGTACCTTCCAGTATGATGCACTGAGAAGGGCACAATGTCACTTCTGCAGAATTGTCGGAAATGTGCAGTCTCAGTGCAATTGTGAGAAAAGATCAGACAAGCCCAAACTGAGAGACACTCTACAAAATAATTGACCAGTACGTTTTGAAAGTGCCAAGGCCGTGAACAATAAGGAAAGACTGAGGAACAGTCATGAACTGGAAGAGAATAAAGAAATATGATAACTAAATGCATTGTGAGATTCCCGATTTGGATGCCGGATTAGAAAAAGGACCAGAAATAGGATTTCATCAATGTCAGTTATTTGGTTTTGATCATTGTACTGTGGTTATGTAAGATGTTAACATTAGTAAGAGCTGGGTGAAGGATACATGGAAACTATTATTTTTGCCACCCTTTGAAAGTCGAATGTTTTTCAAAATAAAAAGTTTTAAAGATATATTGCTGAAGTTTTCATTTTGAGAAAAAAAGATATGAACCTTGCATTAGTCAGAGTTCTGTAGAGGGACAGAACTAATGGAACTAACAAAAATATATATAAAGGGGAGTTTATTAACTCACTTGATCACAAGGTCCTACGATAGGCCATCTGCAGGCTGAAGAGCAAGGACAGCCTGCCCGAGTTCTAAAACTGAAGAGCTTGGAGTTTGATGTTTGAGGGCAGGAAGCATTCAGCACGGGAGAAAGACGTAGGCCGGGAGGCTAGGCCAGTCTCTCTTTTAATATTTTTCTACCTGCTTTATATTCTGGCCACGCTGGCAGCTGATTAGACTGTGCCCGCCCAGATTGAGAGTGGGTCTGCCTTTCCCAGCCCGCTGACTCAAACGTTAATCTCCTTTGGCAACCCCCTCACAGACACACCCAGGATCAATACTTTGTATCCAATCAAGTTGACACTCAGTATTAACCATCACAAACCTGCTGTCATGTAACTGCAGTACAGGAGAAGGGGGTGAACATTTATGCAGAATCTGGGTTAGTGGCTGAGGTCAGAAAGGGTTTTCCTGAGGAAGTGATAGCTGAGATCTGGAAAATGAGGAGGAATTAAGCAGGTAGAGATAGGGGAGAAGAGCGTAGATGGAGGCCCAGCAGCAATGGGAAGCATGGTGCATTTGGGAACTGGACAAAGGCTGGCTGGTGTGGCTGGAAGGAAAGGGTGTAACTGGGGCAAGAAGAAACTGGAAAGGTGGGGAGAAGCCTTTTGGTTCACCTATGTCTCCCTGACCAGGAAGCCAACTTCCTAAGTTTGAGTCCACCTGAGAATGTTCCTTTGAGAGAGTCTATCTTGCCAAATAAATTTCACTTTCAACTGGGGTTGGCATGCCCGGGAGATGTTCTGCCCCCCAGCCCCTTTTTCTTCCTGTTTGAACTCAGATCTGGGAATTGCTGAAGGAGCTCCTTTGTGGGTTTGAGTCAGGCACAGCGTGGGCATGGCGGATAACAAGACTTGTAGATCCTTAGAGAGCTGCCTGTCAGTTCCATTCCCAGGCCACTGTGGCTTATAAACCACTGCACTTATGCACTGACTTATATCACCTGGTAGCCAACTCTTAACTCTTAATGCTTCACCTTCACGTGGGTGACTTCCCCAGCCCAGCACATGCAGGGCTTATGTGCTTAGTAATCTCAGTTTGTGTTCCTTAGCAATCTCAACTCTCCCATTTTTTCCCAATGGCCTTGTTTTTCGTTTTTTTTGAGACAGAGCCTCACTCTTGTTGACTAGGTTGGAGTGCAATGGCATGGTCTTGGCTCACTGCACCCTTTGCCTCCCAGGTTCAAGCGATTCTCCTGCCTAAGCTTCCCGAGTAGCTGGGATTATAGGTGCCCCCCACCACGCCTGGCTAATTTTTGTATTTTAGTTGAGACGGTGTTTCACCATGTTGGCTAGGCTGGTCTCAAACTCCTGACCTCAGGTGATCCACCCACCTCAGCCTCCCAAAGTGCTGGGATTACAGGCATGAGCCGCTGTACCTGGCCTCCAATGGCCTTGTTGAAGATCTGAATTCAGCTTCTTCTTAAACTGATTGATTTTACATATCATTCCCTTTATGCCCCAACCATTGTCCAGCTCAGTCATGTTGAGATAAATCACCTTTGTCCAGTAGAGAAGTGCAGTGGGAATTGATTCTGAAGGTCCTGGGGGACCTTCCCACATTCTTTGTATCCTTCTAGATCTCTCTGTTCCAACTCTTAGGTCCCAGTTTTTGCCAAAGAAGCATGTGGCAGCAGAGAATCCCGCCTATGTTGCAGAACTAGAATGACCAGTTTGGGTCCTATCAGTGCTGACTGCCATCAGAAAGTGTTTTCTATACCAGTTACATGGTGACCTCTTATCTGATAGCTTACCTCCCTTATCTGATTTTTGTATATTGCTCTATTCTGCATCCAGACCTTTGTTCCAGGCTTGGCTATCTATCATCTGTAGATCGTATCATGTATGAGAAGCAGAAATCCTTGCATTCCCTTTTTTTCCCAGAGGTTCTTTTGCAACCCAGGGTCTACATACTTCATGAGGTTTGTGATTGTTTCGGAAACTGCATGCAAAACTTATGCATATATGTGAATTTTATAGAAGGAGGAGCCACAGCTTTTATTGGAATGTTGATGGGCTGCACGAGTCCCTGAAAGTCATAAACCACTGCCTTACCTCCATTTAATTGCTCCATATTCTACAGTAAGGTTTCCATATGTTTCTCAAAGCCTTTCCTTCTCCAAGTTCATGGTCTGGATCCCAAAAGAGCACAGACTTTATCTTGGCTGATAGCTTTCTATCTAGTGGTAGGATATTCTTCGCTGCCTCTCCTTCATGATAACACAGCTACCTCACATCTCCTCTGAGAGGCTGTTGTTTGGCCTCTGACCATTGGTGAATGGACGATATGTTACAAAGGGGGAATGCTGCTAACTCCAGCTGAAATGCCTGTTATGCAGGTCATAATATCAATCATCTAATAGAAGGTGAAGTTGAAAATTGATACTCTACAAATATTCATTATGCTGTGGAGTTATACTTTCATTGGTGTTACAGTTTACAATGAAAAGCTTTTAGAAGGTGGCATTTCTACTAGAGTGAAACAAATCGTCATTAATACTTTCCCCCTTCAAATAAATTTTCTTTAGTTCTGAAATCAATA